GGGATTGTCCTTCATTTTGTAAGTTCATCACCACCTCAATCAGCTGTGTACAAAGTTCCATTAAAGCACACAATTTTTACAATTTTTCTGCGATTTTTTTTTTCAACATTTGGGAGTAGTTTTTTCCTACCCTGACGGGTCATGAGGGGTTGTCCTTCATTTTGTATGTTCATAATTCTGTTCCTATCTTGTCCTTCATTTTGTAGGCTCATAACCACCTCAATGAGCTGTGTGCAAAGATTCATTTAACGCACACAATTTTTTACTATTTTTCTGCGGTTTTTTCAACATATGGGGGTGGTTTTTTCCTACCCTGATGGCTCGTAAGGGGTTGTCCTTCATTTTGTATGTTCATAACCAATTCAATGAGCTGTGTGCAAAATTTGATCAACGCACACTATTTTTTACTATTTTTCTGCGATTTTTTTAACATTTGGGGGTGGTTTTTTCCTACCCTGACGGGTCGTAAGGAGTTGTCCTTAATTTTGTAGGTTCATCACCAACTCAATGTGATTTGTGCAAAGTTTCATTAACGCACACAATTTTTTTACTATTTTTCTGCGATTTTTTTAATATTTGGGGGTGGTTTCTTCCTACCCTAACGGGTCATAAGGGGTTGTCCTTCATTTTGTAGGTTCATAACCACTTAATGACCTGTGTGCAAAATTTGATCAACGCACACTATTTTTTACTATTTTTCTGCGATTTTTTCAACATATGGGGGTGTTTTTTTCCTACCCTGACGGGACGTAAGGAGTTGTCCTTAATTTTGTAGGTTTATCACCACTTCAATGAGCTGTGTGCAAAGTTTGATTAACGCACAAATTTTTTTACTATTTTTCTGCTATTCTCAACATATAGGGGTATTTTTTTGCTACCCTGACGAATCGTAAGGGTTTGTGTTTCACACTTTAGATTTATTATCACCTTAGTATTTAGTAAGCTGTGATTAATGCACACAATTTCTGAATATTTGTTAAAAGGCGTTACTAAATTTTTGAATGTATTTTTTTGTGTCCTAAGCCTCCACCCATCATGTTTGTTTGGGGATAAAAAAAGGCTGCTGAAAATCTCTACTAACTTCACATTTTTGGCTGATGAAAATGCTGCAAACTTCACTCACACCGGTAAAATCTTTTTAAAGCGCAGAATTTCAATTTTGGGTCTTGGAAGAATCTCCTGTTTCACTAGGTTTAATTTTCTGTGGTAACTTTTTCTTTCTTGGTGTAATCTAAATTTTTTACGTTTTTAGATAAAAATTATAAGAATCCATTTAGTTCGGCCATATTGATATTGTGCCTACCTAGACCGCACTTCCGAGTTCCTACACCCTACACTAGCCACGCCTACCGATACTATTACCTATTGCACTATTCAAATGATGACAGCGCTAGATACTTGAAAAACTGCTCATTGCACATCAGTATTCTCTATCGTGTTTGCTGTGACTGAAAACCCAGCGGCGGGTATCTTTTCAGACAAAATTTAAAAAGAAAATATTTTTGTGCGGACTTCACGTCACCGTACTCTTTTCTCTTGCGCGGGCTCTACCAAATAATGTAGGTACTACCTACTTACCTATACCAATCCTATACTTGATTAAATAGTAATAGTTTTCACTAAATCATCCCTTATCCTTATAGTAGTTCACTTTTTCAAAATATTCAGGCAGGACTACTTTTTTAGCCATACACTCTATAAGCAAGCACTATGTAAACTAAACAAAAACTGGTTTCCTTCGGTAGAGTTCGAGTAGACGCTCGGAGAGGCTGTATTGTTTTCTCACACCTGTTCTACTCATCAAAAGGAAAAAAAAAGATAAAAGATGCTCTGCGCGCTCACTGTTTCAAGACGAATTCATAACCTATTTGCTCTGTATGACGTCAGTGCTGCCTCGCCCCCTGTCCTGTCAATTGTCAATTGTCAGCTACGACAACTATGTGTATTTTTCAGAATTCACCATATAATTTACCGGTGCGAACAACCGGCACAAGCGTCTGCGGATCACACGGAGGCAACGCCACGAATACAGCGCCCATAACGTTTTTGCTGTTTGTTTTTTGACGCCTCCGCCTCCTTGTCCTGAATCCTGATGAATATTATTGTTATATTCTAGGATTATTTTGCAATTTCCATTTCATAAAATATCGATAATATTTAACTGAAAATTTTAGAAAAACTAATGAGAATTAATTTTTTCGGGATGGGGTATCAAGCTGGGACCCGGGTACAAAAAAATAATTGATAACGTCAGGCGGAACAATCCAATGATACATCGCCCTTCGCCCTTCACAGTTGATTTGTAGGCTGTATCACAACCAAGCTGTTTCTGTAAGATTTTGAAAGGCACAGTGTTCAATCTAGATTGTTGAATAATAGCTATTTATATAAATAACATTAAATAACAAGTACAATAAAGAAAGGATTTATTGTACGAATAATTTTATGACCGAGCGAGCTTGCGAGCAAGGCTATTAAATAATAAATCGATATTCGATAAAGCCTGTTTATGTAAGCGTAATACCTAGGTATACGTAATGTGAATTTAATGCGTTTATGTAAATTTCCAGCTCGGTGAAAAATAAAATAAATAATTATTGTACCATTTTTCCTTTCAACAGTTCCATATTTTATAAACTGTGCTCTGATAGTATCTTGCTCTAATTTTCTTTTCCACTCAAAAAAGTCTTCCTTATTATTAAATGTTAAATTCTTGGCTTGGGGTCTTACAGCCTGTCAAAGTTGCAAAAAGTCAATTTTCAACTGTCAATATTTCCAAAACAGTTGAACTTAGGTATAGGGTATATCACATGAAATCTGCTCAGAATTTTACGTAGAATCCAAATATGCAATTAAATACGGGGTGTTCCATTTAAAATAGTGATGTTGCCACTAGTTTAGAGTAGAAGCGGCAACACCGCATGGTCAAAAATATTTTTAAAGTGTAGATCATGGTCGTTTATCCCGGTTGCCAAATTTTCAAAATGATTCGCTTTTTAGTTCTCCATAAACGTCTAATACGCCATCCACCGTGGGACACCCTGTAGAGTAATTATACTGATATATTTGTTCTTGTGACACTTGGTTTTGATATTTCTTGGAAAAAACCTGAATTTATTCCATTATAGGAAAGCCTAGCAAACTTTTAGATAAAAGACCACATAGACTGGAACACAAACACTCCGTTCTAACTTTTTTAAAGCCAAATAACAACAAAACTTGTAAAAAAGCTGTGAAAACCGCATAAAACACCGGCCCACAGAACATATCACCTATAGAAAAATATCTCAAATGGGAGAATCACGACGAAGGTTTTTAGTTAGGTTTTTAGTCAACGATGGCGACACTGTCGGGAGATAAGAGAAATTTACAGGTATCTGTGGTGTGGACAGTGATTTGTTTTGGTTGGTTTCGTCATTTATTTTGTCATTTTAAAAGTCATAATTTGAATTTTTAAATTGTGTTGTTGTGAACCATGGTCCCCACCCGCGTTAAAGTGAAAATTCAAAAAGTTTCGGTTGAAAAAACCCTAATTTTTGTTCGTATTTTCTTGTATTTACTCGTTTGTTTCGTGTGTATTTGTATTTATTATTCGTATTTACTTTGCGATCTACCTATAGCTGCGTGTCTCTTGCTAATTTACTAACTCTTTTTGCATTATGTTCGACATCGGAAACTTCCTGCCAGTCATAGTTTTCAAGAAAATGAGGCGAAAAGAGCTTAAAGGAGTCAGCAAGCCAAATGCAGTTGAACATTGAAAATGATTTAAAAATAATAAAAATATATGAAAAAAATCAATTCGCCTTTTTGTCAAGAATGCTCGATTAGTTGGGATTTCAGTCAACGATGTCGCTGTAATTCATAACCGGTACATAACATTGCGGATACTTTTCTAGAGGTGATGGTGATATGTTCTGTGCACCGGCCTAATCTACACGAATGTAATGGCGTTTCCGATTGGTAGATCTAGTGCAGAACTAGTGCAATTTTTTTAATTCCTGTCTTTTTTTTCTACAGTCGAATAAAAGGATGCAAATACACTCAGTGCGCACTGAATCTACCAATCGGAAACGCCATAAATAAATGATTTGTTTTACCTCAGGTCGACTGTCAAACTAATTTGTGACGTCACATGGACATGCCCTATTGCGCAATAGTCCCTGTCAAACGCGAGTTTTCTATTCAGAATGACTAATGTAATGTTTTAAATTATTAAATTTGCAGCATAATTGACTGAATATCATGAACATAAAATGAAAATGTCATAACCACCTCAATGAGCTGTGTGCAAAGTTTCATCAACGCACACAATTTTTTACTATTTTTCTGCGATTTTTCAACATATGGGGGTGGTTTTTTCCTACCCTGACGGTTCATAAGGGATTGTCCTTCATTTTGTAAGTTCATCACCACCTCAATCAGCTGTGTACAAAGTTCCATTAATGCACACAATTTTTACTATTTTTCTGCGATTTTTTTTTCAACATTTGGGAGTAGTTTTTTCCTACCCTGACGGGTCATGAGGGGTTGTCCTTCATTTTGTATGTTCATAATTATGTTCCTATCTTGTCCTTCATTTTGTAGGCTCATAACCACCTCAATGAGCTGTGTGCAAAGATTCATTTAAATCTGTCAAACGCGAGTTTTCTATTCAAAAAAAGCAACTTGCGACCGGTTGCTGGTTGCTATGTAATTGCTGTTCGTAGAGAATAAGCCTGCGGGTTAGAAAAGGTATGTCCTTTCTCTAACCGTTTTGTAACCCGGTTAGTTAAACCGGAGCCACGTGAAAAGAACTTTTGGTTGAATCTACCGGTTTTTCAGATAGCATCATGTTTTGTTTTCAATCTAATATCACTGTTGGCTCATAATGTGGCCAAATATTTATAAGCCAAGAGGATTGTCTATTATTTGTCATGCGCCGATACTCCTCCCTTTTGAAGTGAGGCAATGTTTTGCGTACTTTATTACTTCGATTTCTACGATTACTTTCACAGGCATGGTGTGTCAATTCAAAAATTTCTATACAATTATAATGACCTCAATACAGTTTATTAAGCATAGTGGATAACAATAATTTTGGCATAAATTTTTTTTATGCCTAAAATCAAAATAAGCCTGTAATACATTCCAAAATATAATTTGAAATTCATCGAAGGATCAGGTAACTAAGGTGTCGTCGATATCATCGTCTTTGCCCTCGGGCTGATGTAGCATTTTCTTCAAAACTTTCAATACAGTATCAGTCAATGATTCCCTTGCACCCAAGTCCAGCATACCAGAATATTTCTGAAATACTTCGTCACCATCCTTTAATCTTAGCATAGCTATAAGTGCTATTTCTGAGTTTGCTTTAACATAAACATTTTTTTCTTTTGTGCCATTGACTAATGTTGGCAAAGCGATTCGTAGGAAATCTGGCGATAATTTTCCTCCTGGTAGAACTTTTGCTACATGGAATAATACTCTTGCTAGCAATTGCTTTACTTCATTATTGCTGTGGTTCATTGTCTAAAATAAATAAATATATTTCATTATAATAAAATCAAAAGGTATTTATTATTTACCCTTACGAACGCCACTAAAAGCTGATTGGGCATATTTTCAATATTCATTAATAAATATTCTAAGAGGTAACCACAAGAACGGATAGCACTCCGAGTTATATTAATGATTTGCGATTGTAGCTGACTAAGAAGCACTTGTGTCACCTTATTTCTATATTGATCATTCCACAAACGTTTAGAACTTTCTTTCAAGGCTACTGTTAGCGCTGATCCTCTACCTTCTCTGAGAGTCACATTTACATTATTATCGTCATCTGAAAAAAAAAAAAAAAATTTTTTGATAAAAAAATATGGTAGACATGATATATTAACCCATAGGAGGGTACATTCAGGCGATGCCAGCGGCTAAGTTCAGCCACTCAGCAGGGATTTTATTCTCGAAACAGGGGAGCAACGTTCTCATGAGAACGAAGGTTTCGTCTTCCGTATCCATATTTCCATAACACTGACCATGGCAGAGCAATCGTTCTCATGAAAACGCTGTTCCTCGGATCCGAGAATAAAGTCCCTGCTGAGTGGCTGAGCTTAGCCACTGGCACCGCCTGAATACACCCATAAACTTTCTATTCCCATAATGGGTGGCTATGGAAATCTTGGGAGATTATGATTTGATTATAATTTGATGGAAATGCAAATTTTTGTTAAAATGAAAACACCATGTTGCCAAATATTGATATTTGTATTAAATTTGATTAAAATAATGAATAACGTATACTATAGTATCTTTAATAGGTACCCATTTAGAATAATAATAATAATAATAGCATTTATTAATAGCATCAGCTAACAAACAACAACAAAAATACATCATTACATTAACAAAATATTCAGTATTTAAACACTATTTTAGTTTTCAACAATAAATTCTCTTAACCTAACCTTAAATGTAGCGAAACTTTCATTCTTAATATCACTAGGAAGATTGTTAAACTCTACTAATCCTTTATGAAACAAGCTATTCTGTGCGAAGGAAGACTAGACAGTCGGAACATAAAAATCAAATTTACTTCTAGTATTATAATTATGAATATCAGAGACAAATTGCAACCTATGTAATATATGTTCTGGATACAAACCATTTTTTATCTTATGAGCTACTATCATGCATGGTACAAAAATAAATATTCTGTCTTACACTTAATAAATTTGTCGACTTCAGCATGTCTTTTATTCTTGTGTACCTATTACATCCTAAAATACATCTTAAAGCTATGTTTTGTTTTATCTGCAGTATGTCTAAGTCAGATTTGGCAAACATGTACGTAATGGAAGCACAGTAGTTAAAATGTGGTAGTATTATTGTTTTATAAATAATTAATTTAGTCCAACCACTTAGGTCTTGACCTATTCTACACAGAAAATATATTTTTTTTATACTTTCTTAATCAGATACCTCGCATGACTAGAGAATGTTAGGAACTCATCAATAACTACTCCTAAATACTTGAATTCTTTAACCTTGTCTACCTCTACACCATTTATAAATACATTACTATGAGAGTTGATATCTGTACTATAATTCTTGATTTTTAATAACATGAACTTAGTTTTTTTTAAACTTAAACTATTATCACACAGCCATTTATATAGCCTACCTAAATCTTCATTAATTAATTTTATTAAGTTGTCCATATTGTCACTTTGGAAGAATAAGACGGTATCATCTGCGAAAACTTGCAATTCACAATGTTTAACTACTCTGACAATATCGTTTATGTACTGTGCGTTCAATTTATCTTGATAACATTTTAATTCGCTGTAACTTTTTTGTTTTTGAAAGTATCAAGGTAAACAAAAAAACAAAATGTAGGGTTAGTAGCCAAGTTTTTTTTCAAGTTACCTATAAAACAAAACACTATCAATTTTTTGACATATGAGCCAACATTAAATTTTTTTAAATGGAACACCCTGTATATTATATATGTGTTTGATAGAATATCTTATTCCGATTACGATGATATAATACCCTCCATATTTTAGTCCACTCGTTTTTGACAAATCGGCAAAATGTTATCTAATATCACATTTGTCAGTCTTTGCTCTGTATCTGTGGACAGGGACTCGAATACTATCCAAAAAATAGTTATTGAATTTTTCTGCAATTTTTGTATTCTCCGTTTCCATACGATCCTCGAATATAACTCCTCTATTTTTAGCACTTTTGGGTCCACTTATAAGATCTTTTAACGTTCTCCACATCTTTTTTTCATCGTGTTTAACTTCATCAATTTGATCATGGTAATATCTTTGCTTCTGTGACCTAATTATCTGCACTACCTTGTTTCTTTGTTGTTTGTAAGATTTCCAGTCTTCATTTTGATGTGTAATTATGGCTTTTTTGTATAATATGTCCCTTTGTGATACTTGTTCTTTAATTTCTGGTGACCATTTTTTGTTTCCATATTTACCGTATATCCTTTTCTCGACTAAAGGCGCGTGTTGATTAGGGTTATGAGATATTGTCTGAACAAGGTGATTGGCTATGTCATTCGTGGATTGCAGGGAATCTGGCCATACGCTATCCATGAGATCTAGTTGGAACCGAAGTTCGTTAAAGTTATACATATCTCTCATAAGAACTGTTTCAGTGACTGTTTCGATATGAGGGAAATCAATGGTTATTATCGAATGATCTGCTATTTTTGGCGTGTGATAAACCTTGTGAGCAACTGTCTTATTATTTGTTATAATAAGGTCTATTATCGTGGAGCTATTCTGAGTAACTCTTGTGAAATTTTGAACCATTTGATACATTCCATGACTTGAAACTAATGTTTTTAGTTTGTCTGAATAAAATGAGTTCCTTGCAACGTTTATATTGAAGTCTCCTACCAATAGAAATGTATCAGGTTTGGTTGCATATTCTTCAATTATTTTATCCAGTTTATCAAGAAACTCGTTGTGACTTGAACTAGGCGAATGGTAAACATTGAGAATATTGTATTTTTGACCTTTGAAATTCAAATTTACTCCGATCAGCCACATATTTTTTTCCAAAATTTCATTTATTACAATATTATACTGGAGTTCCTCCTTAATGTATATAGAAGCACCTCCTGTGTGTCGACTTGATGAAAACGCATGCAATTCTTTATATCCGTCAATAATTGTTTCCACCTCTTCCAACTCTTCTGTGATATGAGTTTCAACCGAGGTTTCAACTAAGCAGATGACCGTAGGTTGCCTCTGATTTATTAACCAAATAAGTTCCGTTTTATGGGCTAATAAACTTTGGATATTAAGATACAGCAGCTGTTGACACTGCAATTGCTATTTGTTTACCTTGCAGAATGTGTCAGGGTAACTGATGCTCATTTGCAATTGTTCGTAGACTCTCTTGTATGCGGGACAGGTTCTATTAAATGCAGAGTGATGAAAATCTATATTTGGTATATTCAAAACTTCCTTCGCTTTCAGGCAGTTGTTACAAACTTCCGCCTCGCTTGTGCATTCTTGCTTTTTGTGATTTTTGCTGCATTTGGGGCATATTATTTCCTGAGACCTACATTCATGAGCCATATGACCAAATTTCCAACATTTATAACACTGTATGCATGTTCATAATAACGACACGTTCTCCATCCAATATGCAAAACCTCCTTTCTATTTATCTCCTCAAAAGTTTTCCCATCCACCTCCAGTATAGCCACCTCTCCTCTTTTCTTATCCTCATAGGTACTTAAAAGCTTCACTGTTCTGTTTTCACCAATGTTTTAAATTCCATTTTGTATCATTAAACTTTCTATCAAAACATTAGGATCTTGTATTAGCTTTTTTTCTATACTTGTGATTTTAACTTTGGATTTCTCTTTTCTGGTACATCAACTACATATTGCCCCTTTAGTTTCTTTTCGATATCTTCCGAAATATTTTTTATATCGTCTTTCTTTAAACAAGATATAGCAACTCCACCCTCTCGAACAAACTTCACTCTTGAAACTTCTGCACCTATTGCTCGAGGGTCTATTTGTTCTTCAATTATTTTTTTCGTAGTCGAACTGTTTTGTTTCTTATCTTTAGGTTTTATGACAATTACTTCCTCGGGTTTCTTCTTCTTTGCAACTTCGCTGTATTTTGGGATTGAAGCAGATGCTTGTGATTCGGCAAATTTTGGGCAATCAGATAAATGTTGTTTAATATCTTCCATAAGTGCAACCATAGATGGAATCTTTCTTAATACCATTTTGCAATTCTCACACGAAAAAATCAACAGCCTCTTCTGTAAAGGCATGCACCTCGCTTCCGAGCTTGACAGACTAGAACATGCTTGATGTATTCTTTGATTACAGATGTCGCACTGATAATAATCTTCACCGATCACCCTTTGGCATTTCAGGCAACGGTTCTCATTTCCATCCATTTCAGACGATGAAAAATTATGCTGATGAAAAAAATACCAAATCAGTATTTCCTAGGATTTTTTTGGTAGAGGATATGGCAACTAACTAACCGTTCTTCACAATAATAAGATACTATTTGAACAAATCTACACGAATTTAAGCACTGCCTTTATCACTAATCTTATAAAAGATGTCAAGAACTGTGTTAGGACTATTTTCGTCTTTTAATTGTCGCACAAACTCCGGAAAATTACAGGTGCCATCTATTGGGCTTTATGACATTGGCTTTATGACATTAGCTCTCCTGTCGCAGCCCCTGAGGAGACGGACTAGAAATCTCTCGAGCGTTGTCTACACAGGTTTGAATTGTCTCTATAACTATTTTTTGTGAATGTTCTATTCACTCTTCCATTTTTTTTTCTTGGTGAGTCAAATCTCATATCGCCCCCAACAATTTGCCTTGTATTCGGCTAAGATTCCTATCGAAGGTAACTTTCGATAAAGGAAATGATCAAGCGGAAATATTGTCACGGCTCGGGGTAGCATGACATTAAATCTTGGGTCCGTTTATTCATAATGAAAGTCCATTTAACACAATAACTTATTCCACGTTACTAAACACTCTGACACTAATTCACTAATTAACTCAAACTTAACTCTTTACAACCCCTACAAATATTCACTATTTAATTCATATCACAGACAGCCAATATTAAAACTTAACTAACTACTAACTGATACCGGCTTTTATACATATATCCGTATTCCATTTTTGTTGAATCCAAAATAAACGCAATAATCTCTTTTCTTGAAAAAAACAGTAAATTCTAGATTCCAGATTCGATTCTGTGCATGATGGCGAAAGCGCCATAGTACCCTCCTCTTAAGGTTGATCGTCCCGATCAACTTCGCGG